AACCCTTGCAATAAACCTTTGAAAGCATTTAAATAGGCATTATTGAGTCATTGTGAAACCTCTCATGCCGTTTAAGTAAGCACAACTCGGCTGACTGGAACCTGACATGATAACATGGATACATGTAGTGATACAGCGCAGGAAATAGGATGTTTTAAGAGGCACAACACAAGGCACAAAGCATCATAGATGGAGGCACTAAATAGCCTGGCTGACAGGGAGCAAAAGATGCTGCATAAGGAGGGAAGAGATAGGAGTGGGAAGGAGGTAGTGGTAACCACGAACATTGCTGGAATGTTCTGGCGGCCAGCTGGAGAGGAAGCCTAGAGAGTGTGAGAGATCGAGGTATTGCAGTGATCCCAGCAGGCAGCACAAACGGACTGTGGCTCTCTCTCCTCCAGTGTTCTGCCTTGCCTTGATCCCCCTGTACTTTCAACTTCTCTTCCACCCGAGGTGGCCATCAGGCTCTGCCCAGGTTCCTTTTATCACAGGCTGGAAACTCTCTCAAGGCAGAAAGCTGGAGAAACTGCAGCGTTTGACTTGTTTGTTTCCCATCTCCCATCTGTCCCTCGTGGCTGCTGTGGCTGCTGTGTGTTGGAGTCCGGAGTGGAGAAGTGCCAAGGTGGGCGTGGAGAGGCCCTTTGGAAGGTTAGTGCAGCAGCGCAGATGGGCTACGATGGTCTCTACATGGGGGATGCAGTGGAGACGGAGAGACAGAGAAGTTGGAGATGTATTTCTAAGGTAGAAGCAGGGCTTGGTGAGGATGTAGAGTTGAGGGAGAGGGAGGAGTCAAGGGTGATTGGGCTTTTTCCATCAGTATAAAGGTGATTGATACTAGCATGGGGCTAGGGTGAGGGGTAGATGAGATCATGCTTCCTCCAGGTTCTGGAACTGTAGTCTGAATGCAGGGCCTGGCTGCTGCTTCTGGGAGTGGGGAAGATTGCCTATGACCGGAGGACCTGTAGGCCATCTTTGAGGAGTTCAAAGCATCTTTAGCTCCATGGCTCAATCCTTTCCAATCACATTCTTCTCTTCTTTCCCTTCTTCTCTCCCTGATCTCCAGCTCAATTCTCAATTCCTCTCAGAGCTCTTGACTGGAGAAATCCTGATGATCTGCCTGTGACCGTGACCTTCAGTGCTTGTATCCTCCAGAGTGGGGCTCAGAGGAGGCTCCACACTGGGGACCTGTGGGGCCTAGTTCACTCTATGCTGAAGGTGAGAGGGTGGGGAGAGGAAGGCACTCACAAGGATTCCTTCTTTTTTTAGAGATGGGTTTCACTGTGTTGCCCAGGCTGGGGTGCAGTGGCATGATCCTAGCTCACTGCAACCTCGAACTCTTGGGCCTATGCAATCCTCCTGCCTCAGCCTGATGAGTAGCTGGGACTACAGATGCATGCCACCATGCCCAGCTAATGTTTAAATTTTTTGTAGAGACAGGGTCTCACTATGTTGCCCAGGTTGGTCTTGAATTCACAGCCTCAACTGACCCTCCTTCCTTGGCTTCCCAAAGCTCTGGGATGACAGGCATGAGCCACCACACCTGGCCCCAGGACTGTTCCTTAAAATTATCCTTGGAAAAGTTGCTAAGCCTGTTTTCTCATCAGTAGATCTATGAATCTGGCTCGTTATCACAGCTGACATCATAGGCTTAGGGGTTTCTTATTTTTTGCCTTATCATTCTTCTGTTTGAATTTTTTTATTGTAGTCAAATATATATGTATTTATCATGTTAGCTATTTTTAAGTGTATAGTTCAGTGGCTTTAAGTATATTCACATTGTTGTGCAACCATCACCACCATCCATCTCCAGAATTCTTTTCATCCTGCCAAATGGAATCTTAGTGCCTGTGAAACAACTCCCCATCTCCCCCGTCCCTGGAGACCACCATTCTACTTTCTGTCCCTATGCATTCTACTCTTTTTTTTTTTTTTTTGAGATGGAATCTCACTCTGTCAGTGAGGCTGGAGTGCAATGGCACAATCTCGGCTTACTGCAACCTTTGCCTCCTGGGTTCAAGCGATTCTTCTGCCTCAGCCTCCCAAGTAGCCGGGACTACAGGCACCTGCCACCATGCCCGGCTAATTTTCATATTTTTAGTAGAGACAGGGGTTTCACTGTGTTGGCCAGCCTGGTCTCAAACTCCTGACCTTGTGATTGACCCACCTTGGCCTCCTGAAGTGCTAGGATTACAGGCGTGAGCCACTGCGCCTGGCTGCATTTTATTCTCTTTTGTAAGTAGAATTATATTGGTCCTTTTGTGACTGGCTTATTTCACAAAGCATAATGCCTCAAGTTTTATCCGCGTTGTAGCATGTGTTAGAATTTCCTCCCTTTTAAAGACTGAATCATATTCCACGGTATGACTGTACCATATTTTGCTTATCCATTCATTCAACAGTGAACACTAGGCTGTTCCATCTTTTGGCTATTGTGAGGAATGTTGCTATGAGCCTGGATGTACATCTATTTGTTACCCTGCTTTCAATTCTTTTGGGTTCCAGAAATAGTATTCCTGGATTATATGGTAATTCTGTGTTTAATATTTGGAGAAACCACCGTACTGTTTTCCATAGTGGCTGTACCATTTTATATTCCCACCAGCAATGCACAGAAGTTCTGAATTTTTCGCATCCTCGCCAACACTTATTTTCTGTTTTGTTTTGTTTTTTTAAATAGCCATCCTACTGGGTATGAAGTGGTAGCTCATTGCCGTTGATTCGAATTTCCCTGACGATTAGTGATTGAGTATCCTTCATGTATTTATTGGCCATTATATGTCTTCTGTGGAGAAATGTCTATGTAAGTCCTTGGTTCATTTTCAAATTGAGTTGTCTGTTTTGCTGTTGTTGCTGAGGTGCAGGAATCCTTTATATATCCTGGATATTAATCCCTTGTCAGATATACGGTTTGCAAATATTTTCTCCTGTTCTATGGGTTGGCTTTCCACTCTGTTTATACTGTCCTTTGAGGCACAAAAGAAGTACAATTTATCTATATTTTTTCTTATGCTGCCTGTACTTTTGGTGTCATATTCATAAGTTGGGTTTTAAAAATGATTTTTTTTTTTTTTTTTTTTTCCGGCGGGGCACGGTGGCTCACGCCTATAATCCCAGCTCTTTGGGAGGCTGATGCCTGCGGATCGCTTGAGGTCAGGTTTGAGACCAGCCTGGCTACCATGGTGAAACCCCGTCTCTACTAAAATTACAAAAATTAGCTGGGCGTGGTGGCCCACGCCTGTAGTCCCAACTACTTGGGAGGCTAAGGTGGGAGGATTGCTTGAATTCAGGAGGCGGAGGTTGTGGTGAGCCGAGATTGTGTCACTGCTCTTCAGCCTGGGTGACAGAGTGAGATCCTGTCTCACAAAAAAAAAAAAAAAAAAAAAAAAAAAAAAAAAAAAAAGCCGGGCGCGGTGGCTCACGTCTGTAATTCCAGCACTTTGGGAGGCAGAGGTGGGCGGATCACGAGGTCAGGAGTTCGAGACCAGCCTGGCCAATATAGTGAAACCCCGTCTCTACTAAAAATACAAAAAAATTAGCTGGGCGTGGTGGCACGCGCCTGTAATCCCAGCGACTCGGGAGGCTGAGGCAGGAGAATCGCTTGAACCCGGGAGGTGGAAGTTGCAGTAAGCCAAGATCACACCATTGGTTACTAAACTCCGGGCTGAGAATTCATATCCTGAGCTCCCTTCAGGGATCCCCATTTGCCCTGAAAACCAAGGCTGGTGCCTCAGTGAGATCTAAAACATGCTGCAGGACCGGGGGCCCTGTAGTTTCATCAACCCCAGACAGTGGGGAACGAAAAAGCATTGTGGTCTTTTTATTTGTTCGTCATGTTCAAGGTTCCTCCTTATGTTAAAAAATTTAAAAAGAAAGAAAGAAAGAAAAAAAGACAAAAAGAAAACTTCTGGAATGGAGAATTTATTTAATGTTTTAGAATGTATTCACTTTGGGGCACTACCTTTTACTAGAGCGAAGAATCCCGTACTTAGAGGGAACCAATGGATTAGTTACAACGTATTACCAAGTCCTCAGGAGGGCAAACTGAAAAGCTGCAACCACTGCCCAGCTGGTGGTCGATTGCTTTTGGGGGACTAGTGCGTCTGAGTAGTCATCTGTAATTTCAACATGTGGCAGAAAGTTTCTCCGCACCTCCGTCGCCCCAGCTCCACTCACCACTTAGTGTATGTTTTAAAGCAATAAAGCAATGAGTCTGCTTAGAGGGGGTTCTAAAGGGAAAGATAAACACGGGCTTTATTAAGTATACAGCCGGGCAATGTGACGGGCGACCATGAAAGGAACTCAGGGAGCCTCTCAGCAGCCCGGCCTCCTTTCCCAACAAAACTGGAGTCAACCTGATCATTTCAGGGGCGCTGGGTGGAAGGGTGGCTTTTCCAGCCAAGGCAGGATGTGCTGGCTTTTTCTCTGGAGGTGTCCAAGAGCGCAGAGAGAGTGTCTAATGGTGACTTCGGATTCTGGCGACTCGGGCTCTACCTGGGTGACAGCGAGAGCGTTCCTTGCTGCTCGGTCTCCTTCGGGCATCAACCAGCGCACGCACTTGGAAACTCTGAACCCAGAGGACATTCTGTAACTCTCCATGCCCCCCAGCCATTTGGGGAAGGGCCCACCTTACCCCGCCACCCCGTGGCACAGCAGCTCCCCATCCTCTTGCCCCACACTTGCTAGGTAGTTTGGAGTGTAGAAACGACCCCAGCAGCAGCGGCCCCTTAGGTGCACACCGAAGGTGAACGCTGGACCGCCCCGGGAAAGGCTTTGCTCCCGACTTCATGCTGATGCTGGTGCAATGGGAAAAAGAGAGAGCCCGGGCGAGCAGCGCCAGGGCGCGCAGAAGAGGGCAGGCGAGAAAGTGCCCAGCGAGGGCAGGCGCGGGCCGAGGGCGGGGCGGGCGCGGGAGGGCGCGAGGGGGGCGTGGGCGCGGCCGCCCGCTAGGCCTGGTCGGGCCAGGGGGAGGGGCGCTGGCGGGAGCGGCGCCTCCCGCCCTGGGAGAGCGGCGCGCGCGGCAGCCCCGCGGCAGCAGAGCGCCAAGCCGGGAGCGCGGGGAGCGCGGGCCGGCGGCGGCGAGGGAGGACTGGGGCGCAGACGGCCGGCGCGCGGCGCGGCTACCATGGGCGTGCAGTGAGCGGCCGCTCAGGACGACTTCCTTGGCTGCGCGGCGCTCGCGCGTAGCTCCCTGGCTGGCGGTGCGTCCCCTCGGTCACCATGAAAGGTAGGGCGCGGCAGCCCCGCGGGGTTCCGGGCAGGGGGAACGGGCTTTGGGGCGCACGGGAGGCGGTGGAGGTGCCTCCGGCGCGAACTTTCCCTTGGGCTGCTGGCCGGGGGAGTCGGGGCTGCCAGGGTGTCGGGTTCGTGCGCGGACATTGGGGGCGCACCCGGCTCCCGGGTCAGGCACGGCTGGAGACCTCGAGGTTGGGATTTTGAAGCGCGCAAGTATTCCCCTCCCCAACGCGTCTTTGCAAGTAGTTTGAAGCCCTTAGCCCAAGTCGTTGTTTACGGATTCCAGTTTCCAACTTTTTAATTGAAAAAACATGCCGAGGAGAGTGGAGGCATCGCTATCCCTCCCGGTCGGTTTTCCACTTCGCAGCGCTCCCTACGCTCTCCCCGTCCTCTCTCCTCCCGCCTCTTGCCGTTTCCCGGCCGGAGCAGTCCCCGCGCTGGCGGCCGGGTGTTTTCTCCGGGACTGGGGATGTTCTCCGTGCGCCCTCGCCACATCTGGCAATGATTAGGTGCCCGAGGAGTTCAGCTGGCTCGGGAAGTGCATTTGGCATCTTTCTTCATCAGATTCACCGACTGGAAAATAATTGCTCTCGGTTCCGCGTCCCTTCCACGTGCCCGCCTGTGGGGTGGGTGTGCCCACGTGTGTTCAGGGGTGACACACATCAGCCGGTTCGTCGCCCCCTGCGCGGTGTCCTCTGCAGGCCGGTTTCTGGAAGTGTCAGATGTTGTCGTACTTTAAAAAGAAGCGCAACGAGAAGGACTTTGCTGGGCAGACTTCTGTTTAGTGGAAACACGGAGATTTGTCAGCGGAATCCTGATTTATGTATGAGATAAATAACTGCAGCGGAGGCATCAAAGAGTCGTTCAGGAATGGGCCCGCGTGGTGTTTACACAAGGCTTCGTGTGAGAGTTCCTGGTTCTGTGTTAGGATAACACAGCCCTGCGCCGTGCCGGGCTGGGTGCGAAATGCCATCTGACCGCGGTGACCGAGCTTCCAGCCGCCAGAGACCTGGCGATGCAATCGCTTTGATTTGCCAGGGTTGCTGTCCGAGGGAGGCGCCCGGGAAGCCCCAAGGCGCTTGGAAAGTAACTTTTGGCTCTGGAAAGTTTTTTTCTGAAGGGCAGCTCGCGGTAAACTATCCGGAGTGATGATACCCTACCAATTCACTCCTTTTCCAAAGGTGTGAGGTCTCCACGTTGGGAGACCTTGGGAAGGGAGGTGACTGACAGCCAGGTGAAAAGTGGTCTGTCCCAGGCAAAAAGAAACAAAGGACACGATACAACTTTCTGCCTAGAGAATTTCAAAATGCAGTGGCGTGTTTTCCTTCTGTCTCCATCTCAGTTTCTCTTCTCTCATTTACATTCTAGGAAATACACACATTCCTTAGCTAGCTCTAATTGAGGAGACTCCCTAGAGGAAAGAATGTCACATGGCTAAAAGTTATCTGGGGCTCAGTTATCATTTTAGCCAGAAGTCAGTCTTCTCTTTGCTGGTCATTAAGGCCACTGGTTTTTAAAGCTTGGGAAGATAAGCCACCTACTCACTCCATTAGCTTCCACGTGGGTTCTTAAACCCTGAAAGTTTTGTTATGCTTTTTACTGGGTCAAGGACCGCTGTGGCACTTGAAATACTTTTCCACTTTATATCTGCACTGGAAAACATACCCAAAAGTCCTAAACACATTTTTGGGGAGATTTATGCTGCATTCTGGACCTACCCGCTGTGGTCAAGCACTGCCCAAAAGCCCCATACACTTTCTGCCCCAGTCAGGGAGGTTGGTGGAGGGATGGACTGGTGAATCCCTGGGTAGACTAATCATTTTGAAGGCCTCTTCTAAAAATGAAAATATTCCGGCGGGGCGCGGTGGCTCACACCTGTAATCCCAACACTTTGGGAGGCCAAGGTGGGCAGGTCACCCGAGGTCAGGAGTTTGAGAACAGCCTGGCCAACATTGTGAAATCCTGTCTCTACTAAAAATACAAAAAATTAGCTGCGCATGGTGGTGGGCACCTGTAATCCCAGCTACTTGAGAGGCTGAGGGAGGAGAATAACTTGAACCCAGGAGCTGGAGGTTGCAGTGAGCCGAGATCAAGCCATTGCACTCCAGCCTGGGTGACAAGAGCGAGACTCCGTCTCAAAGAAAAAAAAAAAAGAAAATATATTTCATGAGAGGTTTGCGTGCCAATTAAATTATTACCACATGACCTGTATTTATTATGTTTGAGTGGTGAGGTGGGAACAGGAGGGGCAGTAATAATTTTTTAGTACCTACTAAGTGCCAGCCACTGTACTATATACACTACAAACATATTGCAATTAATCCTCTCAACAGCCCTGGGAGTAGATATTTCAGTCCTAACAGTATAGGTATGAAAACTGAGTCTAGAAGAAATAGGAACTGACAACCAGGAGGATAGGGTAGGCAACTAAAGACAAGCCTTGTCAGTTACCCCGTGTGACTTGAAAGGCCCTAAGACACCAGATAGATAACCTCTGGTGAAGATGACTAGAAAAAAAAGTGAATCTGAGGCAACTAACTGGCCAAGTAACCCGCAATTGGTGCTGTATCCAGGAAGAGGTGGAGCCAACCAGTTGGACCTGAGGCTTTGGAAGCCTAGACAAAAAGGAAAGCTGCTTTTACCAAGTGGAATTGTTTTGATCATTTGCCATAGGGAACCAACTAAAGGTTTTCCCCAGGTTCCTGATTACATCAAATAGTTATTAACTCACCATGCTTCAGAAAGCCAACATGATAGAAAACAATGACAAGCCTTGTAAATTCTTAGAATAAACGTGTTAATCTAAAACATTCTTGGCCAGGTGCAGTGGCTCATGCCTGTAATCCCAGCACTTTGGGAGGCTGAGGCGGGCGGATCACCATATAGTGAAACCAGCCTGGCTGACATATAGTGAAACCCCATCTCTACTAAAAAATACAAAAATTAGCTGGGCATGGTGGCACATACTGTAGTCCCAGCTACTTGGGAAGCCGAGGCAGGAGAATCGCTTGAACCCGGGAGGTGGAGGTTGCGGTGAGCCAAGATCGCGCCACTGCACTTCAGCCCAGGTGACAGAAGCAAGAATCTGTCTCTCAAACACACACACACACACACACACAGAGACACACAGACAGACATAGACACACACAACACATTCTTTAGCCAAATTGAAAATCAGTGGACACCATAGAAGTTACAGAAGTTTATTTGCAAAAGCAAATATTCCTGTGCAAGTCAGATGCCTTTTTAGGGTACCAACGTAACTTTCTAATTCTGATGTTTAAACCTGTATATGGCCTTTGTAATGACGGGGCTCTTGGACTGTAATCCTGCGTGTGCCGTCAGTCACAGCGCCACCTATCTGTTGCATTCAGCAAACATCCATTTCCTCCATCCCGGGAGTCACAAGTACCAAAATAATGACATCATTATATATTACCCAGAAGAAAATTACTTTCCCCGTTGCTGCAGTACTTGAAGTCTTCCAAACTGGTTAAAACATGAAGTTTGTTTTAATTTAGTTCCAATTTCATTTTCAATTAGCAGTACTACACCATAAATCTCATGGCTTTTTGGATACATATTCACATTCTTGACGAAGTAATCTGACTCCTCTAGAGTTAGGTGTGTCGTTACTAAATCACATTCTTGGTTCTTAAAGTTGGGGATATTGGTTAGTTTCAGTGCAGCAGCACTTGTTGCCTAAGAGACAGCCAAAACCAGCCACCACCACCCGGGGACACAGAGGTCCAAGCCAGTGCTATAATTTAACACAGAGAGGAGGCCGGTGCCATGAAAACACAGTGTTCAGCTGCTTATTTTTTTACTTTTGTGCGTAAATATTTCTGAAATACTGTTTGGCAATAATATATTTAAAATGCACTAGTAAGCAGTATACTTCTCCCAGAGTTTTTTGGGACTCACAGTCTTTTTGCTTTTCCAGTGTCTCTCTAAGATTTCTTGTTCTTAACTGGGATAAGCAAACAAGCCTATAAAGGCAATTGCATTTAACATTGAAAGAGTCATATTTTCTAAAGGAAAATGGAAACAAAATGAAGCCTTTCTCCCTTCGCTGATTGGTAATAGGGGCTGCCCTTCTCTGGGAGGCAAATTTACAATCTAATTATACTTTTGACTTTTCATTAGTTTGGGAATGCTTGACATTCTTAATCTGAGGTTTAATTATTGCTAAGTATAGATCTTCTCTGTGGTCTCCTATGCAATTTCCCAGGGTTGTTCCAGTGGCTGCAACCCTTTGCCATGTGGCTCATCCACTGAAAATGCGGTGAATGGAAAAAACTAGCCGATGATGGCTTTCATGCTGTGTCATAACAGAGCATCTCATTTTCATACTAGATGCTTATTCTCACTGTAATATTATTTCAAAACAACTCTTGCAACCGTTGCCAAATATACTTAAATGGACCTGAAGTATTAGCTTTCAAATGGGAAAATGGACATTTAAATTTTGTGATAGAAAATACGCTTTGCCGTGGGTAAAACCAGCATGTGAGTGATCTCTCAGGGAGGCCAGCCTAACACACACTTCCCTTTAATAATAGCTGACATTTATTGAGCACCTGCCATGCCAGGCATTATCATTTCCTCCATTTGATGGTAGGAAAACTTGGGTTCCGAGAGGCTGTGTTACTTGTCTAAGGGTACCCAGCCAGTTGGTGGGGGGTGATCAGTATTCATGCTCAGACTGTCTGATTCCAGAATCACACGTGTAATCTCTAGCCCAGGCTCCCTCCTAGCTATACCCTAATAATGCATTCAAGCCCTACATCTTTGTGAAGTCCTACTGTGTGCTGTCACACTCCACTAGATACTGGGTGAGCGAGGTAGACAAGGCTCTATCATCTGGCCTCGTAACTGTAATGACCTAGCATCAGAGGTCTGAAGGATTGATGTGTTCTTCAGTCAGCCACTGGAGGAGACGCTCTAAACTGGAGCTCTTGCAAAGATAAAGCAGATTCCAGGATTGCTGCC